TGACTAACAGCAAAGATCTTTGTTACAGATGGACAACTAAACATAATTTACTGCTTTAGTTATTTTTTTTTTTTAATAGATTTTCTTGTTATCATAGCAAGGAAATTGACTCCTGTAGCAAAGAAAACGTGGCTAATATAGCAAATTATGTTTAGTTGCCCATATGTAGCAGATCTTTCTTTTCCATGTACATATCCGGGCATTTTATCTTGTAAATCGCATCACTAGCGATTGGCAACTTGATCTGCGCTCGCGTTCATGCCTACAATTGTCTCTAGATTAGTCGAAAAAAGACTGCCTGGATTGGTCAAGAAACAGAAAACGCAGTCGCCAATCGCTATTGCGATACGGGCATTACGCAATGATAAACGCGTTTCGTATACACGAGGTAATACGTCGACTCCTCGACGATGCTCCCGATGTTGCACGCGTCGGGCGATGCGCGCCACTTGGAGCGAACGACGTTTAGCAGATGTTTAACGCCTAATGGCCGTCCAAAGAATTACCGTGACCCCGTATTCGTATCTTGCGTTAAAGTGTAGTCACTCGAGTCGCACTTGTGGAGTAAGCAAAGAAAAGAATACTGTGCGCGTAACTAGTTAGAATAAAGACGACGAAGGCTGTGCTTTACAGCAGCTGAGTGTGGCACTAAAAGGAAACCATCTTTATCTACGTTCATTAAGCGAAGGTAATTGATCATTTAGCCGAGATAATCTTATTTGCAAGCCGCCGGTGCTCGCCTATTGTAGAGCATAAATTTGACTTTCGCATTCTCATGGCTGTAATGAGCTGTAATGTTTAGGTCCGAAAGTCTCATGTAAGATAAATTTCAGTCAACGATTGTTAACCCTTACAGGTTAACCGAAAGAAAAAGAGAGTATTTAATCCTTTTTATAGTTTATCATAACAAAATGAATGATAAATACAACTAAATACACTAACGTAGTATTTTTTTAGAAATTTATATATATTTAAATTTATATTTAAACTTATATTTCATCTCAAATATGATATATTTACAAGCACTATTATGTAGTTGAGAGATTATTAGAATGTAAAAATATATAATTACCAAATGAAATAAAATAGTCACTGAATATGCACAAAAGCTAGAAAAAACCAAAATACAAGTATCGAAAATTTCGCTCTATCGAGACCCGCGAAAAATTTGCAATTGCCGCCGATTATTTTGACAACTCAGGTTTATTGGTGTTGCCAGTTTAAAAAAAATTGCAATAAATACGTTCCGTTTTCACATTATGTAAAAAAGAAACTGTCAGTCATTATGAATTCGTTACTAAATTAGAAAAAAATATCATGGAAAAATATCTTCCATAGTCCTGAAAGGGTTAATATGTTGGTAGTGATGGCTTCGACATTGTCTCACAAATATGCAACACCAAGATATAATTAATCAGATTTGTAAAATCGGTTTTACGGCCACTCAAAGGCCGATGAAATGAGGTGGAAAAGATACGTGCGTCTCGAATGACATTTTAATCACCGTAATATTCGTAATTCAATCGTCTTGGTTAAGCTTTCTTAATCAACACGATTCTCCCGGTAAGTACTTTTGAGAGACACGACCGTGCACCATGAAGTCGCGCGTTATCGCGTAACCTCGATCCGCCGAGGCGACGTCGCTCTCTTGACAGGACCTCATCCGGGAGGATCCGTCGAGCACGCATTCGCCTTGACTTTCTCACGTTGTGCAACTCCGAAAACGGATCGTGCGTCATCGCCGAGAAAGAATATGCGGACGCGGGCGCGCGCGAAGAGCAGCAGAGAAGAGCAGCAATCTCTCTCGGCGCTGAACATATGGACATAATATATATGGAGTCCGAACGCCCTTCGTTCTGTCGTCTAATTGAGTGAAGCCAACATCTAGAATGAGAGCGAGAATAGAGGGGCTACAGTTTTCTATTTTGTCACCTTTTTGTTGCGCGTGCATCCACTTCTCGTTCCTATAATATTATAGAGCGCAACAGCATCCCGACTGGCAAGCAAAAGTCTTACTTAACCCATTAACGCCCAAACCCATACAGCACAAATGTTCAATAGATATCCTAAGAATGTAGAATATTCGAATATTTTTAGAACGTTCTTAGGATATCTGTTGAACATTTGTGCTATATGGGAATGTGCTTAAATTTTACGTTGATTTTAGCCATTTATTTTACTACGGAAATGAGGTCTGTTGTTTATAAAGAGTACCATTCCTACCAATTTCGATGTCGCTCTATCGAATAGCGTTGAGAAAATTTAAAAAAATCGTAATTTATGCAAAATTTTTGCAAAATAAAATAAAAACCCGCATGTTTTTAGGGCTAATTTTTTCTTCTTCCGCTATTTTCTCCATAAAAACGTGTTAGTATCACCATAAAACGTGTTACTATGTAATGTATTGTAGTACTATTGACTCTGAAACAATTTTGATAACCAAATATAAGCAAAAATTCGAATTAAACGCTTCAAATCGATCGCCATTTTGGTACCGCCATGTTTGTTGAAAAAAATATCCATGGCATATTTTTTAAGTTAGTCTCGGGAACACGTTTTAGATACTTTCCCGAGATATTAACACATTTTCATGAAGAAAATAGCAGAAGAAAAAAAAATTAGCTTTAAAAGCATGCGCTTTTTTATTTTATTTTGCAAACATTTTGCATAAATTGCGATTTTTTTTTAATTTTCTCAATGCTATTCGATAGAGCGACATCGAAATTGATAGAAATGGTACTCTTTATAAATAATAATCTCATTTCCGTAGTAAAATAAATGGCTCAAATCAACGTAAAATTTCAACACATTTGGACGTTAATGAGCGTTTGGGCTTTTTTCACAATTTTTTATGATAAACTGAATGAATATGCGAAAATATTGTTTTGACATGTATTTATACAACATATAAAGAAAAGAAAAATATAATTTTGATCAAATACTCAATATAAGGGTACATGCCCTTAAAATATATAGTTAAAATATATTTCGTTTTTCTTTTCAAGATCGTCATTTTGCAGTAATATCTTGAATTTCGGCGGTTTATTTAAGCTGAATTTTAAGTAAATTTTAGGTAAAATTTAAGGTAAAATTTCGGTAAACTTGTCGTTATCGTGTGAACCACTATAATAGAAATTGAGTAAAAGTTAACAAAATTGCAAGTATCTTAATGAAATATTATTAAATTTTCAGTTTTTAGTAAAAAAATTAATATTTCAAAATCAAATATTTTCACGAGTTTGTCAGTGGTTCACACGATAACGACAAGCTTACGGAAATTTTCTACTTAAAATTCAACTTAAATGAACC